TAATTTAAAGATAAAAGAATCACAATAAAGTGGAGGTAGAAAAGTTGTTGGGATGTATTTATACCTTTCAGCTATCATTATAAATTTAGAGTTGACTTAAATATGATTTTAGTCTCTTCAATTTAAGATTATTTTTTTAGTCTCTTTAATTTTTAAAAATCTTGTTTTAGTTCCTTAGGTGGCCAATAATATATTTGAAAGTAATAAATTGTGACAGTTATTTAGTATCATGTTATCTTTTTATCAACAGAGACACTAATAGGTAGATTTTGTACAACAGTATTTGACAATTTCCTTAAAGAAAATTGAGTATAAGAACTAAAGTAAGATTTTTTGAAATTATAATAACTAAAAAGATCAATTTTAAATTTGAGAGACTAAAAATAAATTTATCTTAAATTTAAAAGATTAAAACATATTTAAGCCTTTAAAGTTTTAAGTCTTGAATATATACTTACATTATAGTATATATGAAGAAAGAACTTTGCCATTTATAATAAATTTATTTATCAACAAGTATTTGGTTCAATAAATATTGTAGTCAATTTTCTTAATCAAGATATCAAGTAAATATTATATATATATATATATATATATATATATATATATAAAATAAGAAATCTACTTATTTCAAGAGTAAGTTTACATATATTTATTCTGCTTAATAAATCATATTCTACATCGAATTCAAAAAATCTAATTGTTGAATTAAAAACTCTTAATGTATAAATCAAATCTACAAATTAAAAAAAAATAAAAACTATTTGATACTCAATTTCATTAATTCAAATTGATGTATAAATTTTTTTATGATTATTCCTCATTTAAATTAATGAAATAAGGTATCAAATTTAAATTCTTTAAAAAATTTGCATATTTAATCTATGCATTAAAATTTAATATAAAATATAAGTTATTAAGTAAAATAAGATTATCAAAACTTATTAATTGAATAAGGAAATCCAAATATAAAATATAAGTTATTAAATAAAATAAGATTATCAAAACTTATTAATTAAATAAGGAAATCCTTCATTTTGTTGTATACAATATTTTTAACAAGTTTAACCTTCACAATTTTAATCTTGAAAAAATTGTTTCCAAAGACAATAATAACTACAGACTATCCCACTACCGTATGTATTCAAGTGGGGCACGAAATACTTTATGTCCACTAATTTATACATATTATAAAGAAATTCACTAAATGTAATTTTTTTTCTCAACTTTAAGTGCATCATTATACTGATAAGCAAGCAAAAACCTCTTATATTTCTTGAATAATCCAACAACCACTCTTAATATCTTTTTTTTTTAAAAAAAAAAACTACTTCATGTCTCTTTTCTTACTAGAGTAAATACCCGAGATTTAAACACACAAGTTACTTATTGATCATTAAATCTTATCATGAATGATCAAAATTAAAACATAAAAGTTATGTGTATTTTTTAAGAGTCACATTATTTATTCTCTCACTTCATATAAAAATAGTCCTCTCACTAAATATTCTCCTACAATATTTTGAAATATTTTTTCAATTATTTATTTCTTAATTATTAATGATTTCGAAAGAGCATATAGAGTTTTAATACCCAATTTTTTAGTTATTGAATAAGCATAAAATCCTTAATCATTTTCTTTATTTTTGTTATTTTATAGACAATTTGATGTTAATATGCATTCTAAACTTTTGTTTTTTTTTGTAACATTAACCTGTATGATTGATTTAATAATATTTTTATACACCATTTTTCATTAATTGTCTTTTTCATTATAAAAAAATATATATTTTTTTTACATTTTTTTCAAATATATGTTTATAGGAAAACTTATACAATATTGATTTAAACCTGCAGATTTTCTCTTGTGGATTATTATACAATTTTTTTATGATTTTTATGATTTATTTATAAAATTTTTGTTATAATTTTGATAAAATATGATTATTTCCTTAAATCGTTGGAAAAATTATATAGCTTTTCATATTCTTATATGAATTTTGTTTTTATATAATAAAAAAAATTAATGCTTATTACAAAAAAATTGTGAATATATTTTCTATTTTTTAAAATTAAAAAATGAATTAATTAGTTAGTTAATATTTTTATAATATCATTAAATGTCTAAATTCATGTAATAAAATTATATAACTAAAATTATTACATTTAATTTATTATAAGTTTATTATTTTGATCCTAGACCAGAACTTTTCAAGTTCTACCATTAATCAGAAACATTCCAAAAGTAAATCATTCCAACAAGTAATGAAATAGTGAAATTACCTCCAGCTGTCTTATTGTATCTAGCAAGTTCGTTCGTTCTTGACATAGGATCTGAAGTTGCTCTTGTAATTTGGAGAACTCGGTGAGCATGATTTGCTCACACTCCTTGATAAGGCTCTCGCTACTACCCTCTTCAATCAAGCGCTTCTTGAGCCTCTCAGTTGAAACAGATATATGATTTGGTGCGAGGGAAAGATGGTCACTCAGTGGTCGAAGTGGATACAATCCACGAGTTGAAATCAAGGCTTGGATCCACGCCACACGGTCCTTCCTTGAATCGGTTCTCAGGTGGAGAGTCTTTGTTGCTGTGAATATATAGAACCTTCTATCGTCTGACTTGCTCTCTCTAAATGACGAGATCTGCTTAATATTCACATAAGATAACTTGAAATTCAAATGAACAAAAAAATTATTATGTCTAATTTTTTTTTCTATTTTAAAAATACATAGATTTCAACAGGAACGGGAAAAGGACGCGTATCAAATTAAGGTTTTTTTAATAAAAAATAAATAAATAAATAAAAGACAATATTTGGAATAAAATGAAAATTTGAAGCAACAGCAACTATCAACCACCAGAATACCAGAGAAATTATTATTAAACTTGTCCCCATGAGAAACATAAGCAGGGAAGAGAGCCCACCTGAGAAGACAAATTAAATTTATACAGAAAGATTGAAAATGAAATTACCTCACTAGTTATCAGGACATGAGGCCGCTATTAATAGACTCGAGTGACTCGAGATAGAAGGTAGGGTAAAAAAAACAAAAAAAAATTTACTGTCTTCAACTACCTTTTGTTTTTCCCTTTTATCCAGGGAGAAGAACACTTTGTCTTGAATGTTGACCTTAAACAGTAGGATCACACATTTTAAAAGATAAAAAATTTATATAACTGGATGATACCCCACCACTATGGTGGCAAGTCCCACATAAACATATTTCTGTTGACAAAGACAAAAGAGGGACCTTTCCATATTTTTTCACTTTTTTCTTATTTTCTAACTACATATAAATAAAAAAAACTAATAACCGAAAATGCTTTTTCAGTTTTTCTCCTCATAAAGTAAGGTCGAGGCATTATAGTTTACAACGAAACTCTCACTCACGCATACCCGGAAGAAGCACACAAAATCCAACATCCCTAATTTCACGCATCTTTGGATCACTAGGCTCACCACTGTTAACATTTGTTTTTTCTGCTCTAGAATGTGCATCCCTAATTTCATCCATCTTTGGATCACTACATTCACCCAATGTTGATATTTGTTTTTTCTGCTCTAGAATGTACCAGCTTCAGCTTAAAGCTTTTTTATAGACGTCAAAAGGGTAAAACAAATTCAAGTTACTGAAAATTTCCAGTTTGGTGTAATTTTTCAAGCTTACACTTTAGTGGACTAGAAAAGGTTGAATTTGCAGAAAAATAGGGGTGGACATGAGTAAGTGGCGAGGAAGAAGCAATCAAATTTTAATGCAGAAGCAGAGGCAGATTGATTCCAACCAATGCAGATGGAGGGAAGGCAGAGAGAGGCATGACGTGACGGCAAGTTAATGCCATAGGACTAATAGTAGACTATCCCTACCCTCCGCGGTCACCTGTTGATGTGACCCACTATACATTAACAACCAGTTAAAACTGTAAAACAGGAATTAAAAAGTTGCAACTTTGAATTACAAATCAGATAATTGAGAACAACGAGGCGGCCAAGTATGGTAGAAACCAGCGGGTTTTCATGTTGCTCAGGCATCAAAGCTCCTCTCAGATTTTCTTCCACACTTTTTACACTGTCACCAGAACAATCTAAAAATTTTCATGGCCGGAAATCAATGAAATCAAATCTTGCCTTCATAATTAAAAGGAAACTAAAGTGTTATATATTTATTTTTAAAATTTTAAATTAAAAGAAAATGTTGCCTCTACAGGAAAGTTGCAGTGAGGTAGCGCCAAAATCGTGTACACGATACTGTCAAAACAAGACCGAGACCTGACCCACACTATAACGAGTGACTCAGATCAGCACCAAAGATAAACCTTAGTAAATTTCCATAATCATAATTGAAACAAATAGTTACAAATAATTGCAAATAATAATAATAATAATAAATTGAAGAGTCATACGTAGATAGCTTTGAGTTTTTTTTTTTTTTTTTGTTTACCTTGAGATGGACAACGGCAGACGAAGAGGAGGAAGGAGGTTTGTGATTCTTCCGACGCATGGTGGCCGCGGCGGCGTCTCTGGCGAGGCGATTGGCGGTGACCTCTCCGATGAGGCGGACGTCGTCGACGGTAGATAGGAGGTTGAGATTCTCCGGCCACCGGAGCTTGGCGTAGGAGAGGACGCCATTGCGGAGGAGGAACCAGCGGGATCTCCATCCTTTGCCGTAATTAGTCCACTTGTAGAGCACGCCGGCCACCGTGGCCTCCGATCCCCGGCGCGCAATGCCGTCAGATCCGCCCGCCGGAAGACTCCTCGTCCTGGAAAGCGCGGCCGCCTCTGGCTCCGGCGAGTCGCTCCCGATCCCCGGACTCTCCAGCGAGATGCAGCACAATGGGTGCATTTCCTTCACTCGCATTTTCAAAGCTTCTCTTCTTCTGTTCTTATTTCACTTGTTCATTGGAACAGAAACAGCATTCGAAAGTGATGTGAGGTGAATGAATGGTCTAGGGTTGAAAAAAAAACCCGAAAGAGATAAAGGTTTAGGTTGGAGCGATGAGGAGCTCTGAAACTGAGAAAGAAGCAGATCGAAGAAGTAGGATTAATTAATAGCAAAGTGTGTTGAATGAGAAAGACGCATTGGTTAAATATAAGAAAATGAATTAAAGTAAAAGGGGTTTTGTGTGAGGGTTGATGAATAAAAATTAGTTTGGGAGAATGAGAGAGATGTGGATAGATATATAGAGAGGCTGAGGCAGGACAGTGCAATAAAGGAAAGGGGGTGGGCAGAATGGTAATTAAATTAAATTAAGAGGCTCTTTTTGAAGTTGAAGCATGAGAGGAGTGAAGTGAAGAACCAGCTTTGACTGGTTAAGTCGTTGAGATGCCACTGCACTGCTTCTTCTGCTTCTTGTTCTTCACTCCAATCTTCTTCTTCCGTTTTTCTTTTTTCTTTTTCTTTTATTCATTCATTTTGGATTTTTTAACTTTTGGAGGAGATATTAAGGGAGGGGAGTTCTCGCGAGTGAATTGGAGCGTGAAATTATCGGTAAAATATCGCGGGGGTGTGTGAACTGTGAATGAAAGAGAGGCAGCGAAGGGAGACAGGGTAGCACTGTGGCAGTTGACGACGATGAGTAGGAAACTGGGGCGTGTTATAAATGCTATTTACTGCATAATCATTAATTTTTCAACTTTCAATATTTTCCTTTCTTCTTGTGTTTTCTTTTCTCACAAAAATTCCCATTTCAGTGCTATTTATACCTGCAAACTGCAAAGAATGATGATGTGCTTCAAAGTTTAAAATGTCTCTCAATGGGGTGCTTCAATCCAATTGAAATAAAGTAAAGAATGTTTCACTAAAGATTAATGATTATATTTACCTCACTTTTTTACTGGTATATTTTCTCCGATCTAAAATATTAAAAAAAAATACACATAACTTTATTTTTTAAACTATTATTTTTTTTACATTAATTTATAATAAAAAAATACACAATGAAATATAAATAATATTAATATACAATGAAAATTTACAACCAACTGTTAAATTTTCATATCACTCCCATTTTATGTTCATTATATAAGAATATATGCCGTCGAAACTTTATTCACTAATTATTGTGAGATAAAAAAAATTAGTGAAAGAAATAAGAGTATATCATTATTTTATATCATATATTAAGTCATTATTCTCTCCAATTTTGAATATAAAAACAAAACATACAAACATTCTAATTGATAAAAATTGTTTACATCATTTAATTTTATTAATTTTATTTAAAATTAACTTATTTTTTAAAATTATTCTCCTTTAAAAATTAATATCAAAAATAAAAAGGCATTAAAAATACAATTCTAACTAAATAAAGAAATATTTTAAAGATGACAACGTTAATTAAATAGAATGAGATTAATTAAATTTTATTTATATTTATGACCAATAAATATGAGATGTTTTTTTTTCTTATATTCATAGCTGAAAGGAGTATAAACTAATAAACTTTGTCAAAAATATCCAATGAGATAAATTCATGGCAAAAGAAAAAAAAAAAGGCTAGAACAAATTTATTTTTCATTGTCACATATATGTAAATAATCATTTTTAATACAACTAAGTTCAATCTTGTGTATTAATTGATGAGTAGTTTTTCTTGGCATTGATTTTGGAGAGGGATTATATTTACTAGATTCTCACGTGAACAAATTTACTGAATCATAGATTAATATTAACCAATCACATTATTGTGTAAAGTTGAAATTTTTGCATAATCAGATGATGTGACTGATTTAGGTTGTTTCACATGTCAACATGAATTTTTTGTAACATTGCACGCAAACAAATATTTTGTCTGTGATCAATTGTTACATGTATTTCACAAATTACTTCTCAAATAATGAAGCATGTGTTTTACTTTATTTATCATGTTTGTACATAATTATATCTTGCTAGTTAATTGGTGAAAATTAATATATTAGTTTTTTGTATAATTAGCAAAGTATATTAATATTCTTGTAGTACTAAAATGTAGTAATTTCGGGTCAAGTAGTTTTTCATTTTTTTTTTCAAGGTCTAAAGATCTATGTTTATATCTACAGACCATAAGGACTATTTGTGTACAAATTGGATGTAATTTATTCATATATAT